TGGGGGGCAACAAGGGGGGCATGAGGCCAACACTCTTAGGGATCAGGTGGCTCAACTCCTCACAGAGCAGTTTGGCATGGGAGTAAGACCTGCTATGCCACCTGTATACCGTAAGCCGTACCCAGAATGGGTAGATAGACTTTACCCATTTCCAAGGGGATTCAGAGTTCCCGAGTTTGCCACATTCACAGGGACTGGAGATCAGTCCACTGTAGAGCACGTTGGACGTTTCACTGTCCAATGTGGCGATGTAGGAGATTTTGTTAAGTTAAGATTATTTGGAAACTCGATGTAGGAGATTTTGTTAAGTTAAGATTATTTGGAAACTCGTTGACAGGACCAGCTTTTGCTTGGTACGTCAACTTGCCGTCCAACTCCATCCACACTTGGCAACAGATGGAACAAGTTTTCCACGCTCAGTTTTACAGATCTGAGCCCGAGGTGTCCATGGCTGACTTGGCACGCATGCGCCAGCAGCCAGGGGAGTCGGTCGAGCATTTTTTGACTAACTTCAAGAATGCTCGTAACCGTTGCTTTGTCAACTTGACGGAGAGGGAGTTCGTCAAGCTGGCGCAAGGGGGTTTGAGTTTTGAACTAAGGAAGAAATTCCAAGATAGGGAGTTCTCTGATTTATTTCAACTCATGTCTTGTGCTGTGAGGTATGAGTCTCTTCTACATGAGGAAGAGAATCGTAGGAGTGCATCAAGGGGATCATACTTCCCAAACTTAGACTATACCATCAATCATATTGGCCACGAGGCCAATGAGGTTGAGGTAGACTTGGCTGAGATAACTCCAGGGAAGCCATACATATGTGCTTCTTTGTCTAAAGTTGAAGAGGGACCACAAGGGGGAAGACCTAATCGTGCTCCCATTCAGCCAAGGAAGTATTCCTTTGACGTCTCCAAGGCAGACTTGATTTTTGACCAACTCTATAAGGATGGTCAAGTCAAGTTGACAGGGGGGCATGTCTTTCCCTCACCCGAGAAATTAAAAGGAAAAAAGTATTGTAAGTGGCATAATAGCATGTCACATGCCACTGATGCTTGTGTGGTGTTCTGTAATGTCTTGCAGGATGCCATTGAAAAGGGACGTATCAAGTTCCCTGAAGCAAAGAAGGATGCCATGTTGGTGGACACTGATCCGTTCCCCAAGGTGCTTGGCATCAACATGGTCAACCCAGACTTCTCCAAAGTCGAGTTACCACGCTTCAAGCTGGTGTTGGATACAAAACCGCCTCAAAGGAGACCCAACGTGGTTTTCGACCAAGGAAGCTCGTCATGTACCAAGCAGGCCAGCCTGGCCGCAATGATGACTGATGAAGTTGAGAATTTGTGTGCTCATTGCAAGAAGAGTTTTAAGGTTGACGAAGAGAGGTCGAGATGTCCGTCTAGGGGGAAGGTGGTTTCCAAGAAGCCACATCAACCCAAAGCCTCACATGTTTGTGATAAATATGATAATATGGCTAAGTCTGGACAAGAAAGCAGGCCACCAACCACAAACAGTGGACATGGGGGCAAGTCCAACAAGGAAAGACGTGGAAAAGGCAGAAAGAGTTGTCACAGTCTCGCAAATTTTGCTAAGTCTGGACAAGGGAGCATTTCACCCACCATGAAGAATGAAGTAGACAACATCTCCAAGAAGACAAAAGAAGTCAAACCCTCACATGTATTTTGTAAGCATGAGATTATGGACAAGGGAGGATTGGGGGGCAAGTCCATGTCAATGAATAGTAAGTACTCGTCACTAACCACAAAGAGTGTACATGGGGGCATGTATAAGAAGTCACCATACACATCAGCCAAACATGGCTGCACAAAGAATCAATGGTGGTTGAGTGCTAAGTGTAGGGGCCAACAAGGTTTATATATTGAAAGACGAAGACAAGGAAGCTACACGAGTGGTTGTCAACTTGTCAAGCGTAAACCTGGTCCCCAACATCGTGAGGAGATTAAGCATTTATCAAGTGGGAGGAAATCAAGGCAGAAGAATAATCATGATAGCCTTGACATGTCAAGTAAGGTGGCCCAAGCAAAGAAGCATGAGGCCTCATGCAAGGCCACCAAAACTAGACAGGCTCACTATGTACCACCCATTAGTAAGCTAGAAAATTCAAAGTTAATGTATGAAGATTCATCTCCCATGGAGGAAAAGAGTCATGTGGTCTATGGATGGCATGTCTGGTTTGATCCATGGACTTGGCAATGGGTGTACACCTTTGGTACATTGATTGTTGCCAAAGGCTATGGAGAGCAGTGACATTTGTCACTTCTTGCCATATAAAATAAATAAATTTATATAATGTAATTATTATATATTAGTTATAAAAAATATTGTAGCCAACCATGGCTAAAAGAAAAGATAGAAGGAAAATATCAAAGTGAAAATCTTGAGTCGGAGTTGTTAGACTTCGACATGAAGATCTTGCCACCACGTTATTGTGATGGTTTGACATGACGAGCCATACATCAGGCCATGCCATGCCATGTTATCTTATCCCGAGTAGCCACGACCTTGGGGGGGCATGATGGCTTGAAAGTGGTAGTAGAGGAGTGGTGACCATAATGTCTCTACCAACATAAAAATGAACATTATTTTTTTTCTAAGGCAAAAAGTAGACGGCTTGACTTGTCGCGAGGGAGCTGTCTAGCCTTGTGACGAGGTGAGATGAGTCAATCTATGCCAAAATAGGTGCGAAAAATTCCAAGTTATTCTCTCAACCATGTGGCTAAGTACGAGATGTCAATGAGGGTGTAGGTGATAAAGTGAAGTTGGTGTCTCGTTGAATGCATTAGGTGGCTTGACCATTAAAAGCCAAAATTTGGCTAAGGCATGGGATAAGTCGTTGATGGCGAGTTCCATCCGGCCATGTTGGCATGATCATTGAAAGCCAAAATTTGGCTAAGGCATGGAGCAAGCCTCTTTCCACGTTCCTTCGTGCCATCGTGTGTTGACATCGAAAGCCAAAATTTGGCTAAGGCATGGAGCAAGCCGCTTGCCACGTTCCCTCTTGCCATCGTGGGTTAACTTGATATCCAAAAATTTGTCTAAGGCATGAGACAAGTTTTGACGTCGAGTACCATCCTACCGTGTTGGCTTGACGTGAAAGCCAAATTTTGGCTAAGGATGAACTAGGTGTGTTGAGTACACACTAGCCAGGCTGTTACTTTCGCTAGCATGGTGGTGTTCAACTACTTAGTCCATAAGCCTTATGCACTAAGTAGTTGGGGGGCATTTGTTTACACCATAAAATTTGTCTTGTACCACATTGGTGAGTTACAAGATAATTGATGAGTTTATAAGGCCACACCCATTAGAACAATTAATGTTGTTTCAGTTGGGCCTTATGGATATTGATTTTAGGCCCAAGCCACTAAGTCTAAAGAGAGGCCATGCCGCCTCAACGAAGAGGCCATGCCGCCTCACCAATAATATCGAAGGAGTGAAAATTTAACTAAGTCTGGAAGAGGTACATGCCACTTCATGAAGAGGCCATGCCACCCCATGACCAAGGCCTAATGACTAAAAAATAAACTAAGTCTGGAAGAGGTACATGCCACTTCAAGGAGAAGCACGTGCCGCCTCACGAGAAGGGGCATGGACGCAAGAAAGATAGTAAGTATGAGAGGGCCATGTTGTGTCACGAGAAGGCCATGGACATGAGTAAGAAGTCCATGGCCGCGAGACAAGAAGGCCATGGACATGAGTAAGAAGTTCATGGCCGTAAGACAAGAAGGCCATGGACATGAGTAAGAAGTCCATGGCCGCGAAACAAGAAGGCCAGGAACATGAGTAAGAAGTCCATGGCCGCGAGGCAAGAAGACCACGACCCCCTTTGTGAGACACCACATGCTTATCAAAAGACTAGCATGACATGAGATTCAGAACAAGACCAGGCAAGGCAAGTTACACTCCAAGACCCACGACGGTTACAAGAGAAGCCCCTAGGCGGTTGAAGGAGTAACCACCACTCCGAGGAAGCAGGGAGCGGTTCTTTTTGGGAGTTATCCAAGAGGCGGTTTTCTACCGAAGAAGGGGGAGCGGTTCTTTGTAGCAGTTATCCAACAAGCGGTTTTCTATGACGGTTACCTCCTCGTGGCTATAAATAAGAGGAGGGTTCGAGAGAGACAAAGGTTCCACAACCAAACAACTGACGCCTACGTCAAGTTTTATCCTTTCTCTGCAAATGTAGCCATAGTCGTAGTTTGGAGCTCTCGCTGAACCTCCATAGGAGTAGGAGTAATTCAATTTAGATCTTGTTCCCAAAAACTATCAATCAAACACCCTCGTTCGAACTTTGTTTGAAGAGGTGTGAACCGTGTTTAGAAATCGTTGTCCAAAGAAGTCAAAGGTGCATCCATTGTGTTCAAACACAAGAAGTTTTCTCGCCGGGAAACAGGGCTCAACAACGACCTTGTGGTTCGAACAATGTCATGGTGCGGAGCCATGCGATGAGCCCTCATAAAATTTTGGTGATGAAGTCAGGGCACGATCTCGTAGGTTTGACATCATATATAGTACCGTTGTGGGCTAGTTTAGGTGCAAGCTATTGTGAAAGCCATTTGACTCATGGAACGGTTTCAACATTACAGTCTTGCGAGCTCAATTTGTGGTAACCACGTCATGTAGTTAACAACGAATTCATGTGAAGATAAGTGGAAAGCATCAAATGCAAAACGTTGAACACTAAAACTTCATAAAGGAGAATGAAGAAGTGGACGATAATGTGTAAACAAAGTGGTCTCAACTTTATCTCTGAGACTCCTAATTATGGAGTTCTCATAGCATGAAGGGATTTCCATATGTATAGGAGTAGTTGTAGGTACAAAGCTCTCACATAATCTTCACAAATAAGCAAAACATCTAGGGAAACAATTTGAAAGGATAGGCAACAAGTGTATCCCATTAAAAAAAGTTAGAGAAAATAAAGTTGGAAGAAGACGCATAAAGTAGAAGCAAGTAACTATTGTATTCTGTTGCATGTGAGTAAATGAATGCAGCGTCCGGGTGAGCAATGAGCTGGGAGGAGGGCATCCGAACGTGGCGAGGCTAGCGGTCGGGGTGGTCAACTTCACCAGCATCCTCATCAGCACGCTCTTCAGCGCCGTGGTGTTGATCTGCAGAGTTGGGCTGAGCAAGCTCTTCACCACCGACTCTCAGGTCATCGACGCAGTCTCCAATCTCACTCCGCTGCTCGCCATCTCCGTCTTCCTCAACGGCATCCAGCCTATCCTCTCCGGTAACACCTCTGCTGGAAATACCCTTTTTTCCCCTCTTGTTCTGCTTATAATAAATGTGTGTGTTTGTTTGGCACGCAGGAGTGGCGATTGGGAGTGGGTGGCAAGGCGTGGTGGCCTATGTCAACTTGGCTACTTACTACATCATCGGCCTTCCAATTGGATGCGTGCTTGGCTTCAAAACCTCTTTGGGAGTTGCGGTAACTAACTAACTAACCCATCCTCCTCTCTTTGCAAACTGTTAATTAAGTCCTCTAGCCTAATTAACCAATGATACAAATGACCTGATAAAAAAAATACGGATGACAACAGATTGGGATGGGATCGGCTTGCCGATATGTAATTCTTGAACTGTTGTGGTTTTATTAAAATCGTAATCAATCCCACATCAAAACTAGCTATGTGCATGGCGATATAATATGACATACTAAAATTAATCCACATGTGGTTCGGAAAAACTCACATGCATCATCTCCGAACAATTATAAACAGGAAAAAATTATTTAATCTAAATTTTTTTGTTCGAATGTCGATGTTAATTGAAGTTTTTTCCCCCACATTGTTTGTAAAACTGAGAGAAATGAGTTAGATTTGAAATCTAAAAGATCATTAGGATGAACAAAGAGTTTAAGCGAGTATAGAACATAGTTACAACACATATTTGGATGAGCTCGATACGGATACTTAAAATATCAAAATCGTATCAAACCCATTACCCTCCTTGTTGGATTCAGACAAAAACCACCAAAAATGTTATCGGTTTGATTTTTTCTGTCAAAATTTATTCAAATTCGGTTGAACAACCGTTTTGATGGGCTAGAAATTAAAGTAATGAGTGTTTTAGTGATCTATTATTTTTCCTCAAGTGTTTTATTATTATTTTTGTGATCTATCATCTTAACAATTAGTAGTTTTGCAGGGGATTTGGTGGGGAATGATCATAGGAGTTGTGTTGCAAACAATAACGTTGATTATTATCACAGCAAGAACAAACTGGGATGCTGAGGTAAATAAACTTACTATACTAAGTAATAAGTCTGACAAAAAAAAATTCGATGAATTGACAATTTGCTTTCTTTCTCCTTTCCCCTTCATTTGTATTTGGGCAATAAATTTTTGATTCCTCCATTTCATAGGTCGCAAAAGCGGTTGAAAGGCTGAAGAACTCTGCCAATGAGGAGAACCTGGACCTCGTTGAAATTTAGAATTTACTAGAGATTTGCTTTTTGCCTTGCAAGGACCCCGACCGTTTCTTTTCTGTGTTCGATTTGGCTTTAGTTTTTTTTAGTGATCAGCGTAACACCCGATCATATAATTTGTTTACAATACCTAAACCACCCTTCGTTGGTTACGCATATCCTGATTAACCCTAAGCTGAACCCTTCTGATCAGCTACTAGTATATATGTAAGTGTAACAGAGTAGCCGCGAAGAGGACCCAAAAACCCCTCATCCCTCCCGGTTTAATTCGATCGACCCAAATAGAAGACCACCAACGCCTGCTAGGGGGATTGATCCACAAGGTAAGGACTTGCCGTAAGGCCTTTGGTTTAGGATTAACGTGTGGGATATTACTGTACTGATATCATGACTCCACCATCTAATTGCATTTTGGTTTAAGTTAGTAGTGATTTATATATGGGGTTCATGGAATTCTAGCAGTACGTGGAAGTGGGGTTGAGTTGCTAATTAATTAGTTGGCTATAGAGAGATCATGGGAAGGAGACAAGGTACAACAGCCTTAATTACCTTGAGGTTTTGACTTCAGTATTTGTTGGGCGCAGCGGGTGAGAATAGCCGGTAAATATATTGCACTAAGAAATCACACGCTTGTAAAAAGTTCACAAATAAGTTGGACCTGGTGGGAGAGCCTCCAGAATTACGGTAACCAACTTACTTAGATCAATTTACTTCGGTAATTTAATAATGCAATATACTACGACTATTCTCAAAATAACAACAAGCATAGATAATAATAAATGACACCGAGGATTTACGTGGTATACCCTGATTTTGGGCCAGTCCACGGGAACAGCAGCTCCGGAGTATTTCTTTACTATAACAACGGTAGGTTACAGAGATTTTCTCGATACAAGAAATAGAACACACGGTGTTTCCCAAACAACCTCACTATTTCACTCACAAGGAAATCTCCTATCTACCCGTGATTGTGAAAACGTTTCACAACCGAAACCACAAGAAAGAAATAGAACCGAAAGCTAGCACAAAAGAATGATGATGATGATGGAAAAATTGGATGGTTTCAGAAGGGAACTAGGCATCCCTTTTATAGCACAAAATGGAGGGGACATATTTAATTGGAATGGTTGGGGAGCTAATCCATGCACCATCCAACTGCATTTGCCACCTGCATCTTACCATTATTGTTTTTATTTTTTTTTATTTTCTCAATTACCACCGCCAACCTTGTTGGCTGCTTCTCCACCACATGAGGAGGGCACAACAATTCTCCCCCGCCCGACTACATGAGCGGCGGCGTCATCCCTGCAGCTGATCGACATAACTCAAATTTTTCTCTTTGAAGAGTCTTGGTACACATGTCAGATCCATTTTCGTCAGTATGGATCTTCTCTAGTTGTAACTGCTTAATTTCAAGCACATCTCGTATCCAGTGATATCGAACATCGATATGTTTTGAGCGAGCATGAAATGAAGCATTCTTCGCAAGATGAATAGCACTCTGACTGTCACAGAGCAGCTGCGGTTGTTCCTGTAGGAACCCAAGTTCATTCAGGAACTTCTTCATCCATATCATCTCCTTGCATGCTTCCGTTACTGCTATATACTCAGCTTCTGTTGTGGAAAGAGCTACACACTTTTGTAGCCTTGACTGCCACGATATTGCTCCCCCTGATAAGGTAATCAGGTAACTAGAAGTGGACCTCATCGAATCAGCATCACCTGCCATGTCAGCATCTGTATAGCCAACAAGGACAGGTTCATCATCTCCAAAACATAGACTCATTTTGGAGCTACCTCGAAGGTATCTGAGGATCCACTTCACAGCTTCCCAATGTTCCTTTCCTGGTTTGGAAAGAAACCGACTGACAACTCCAACTGCATGAGCAATATCTGGCCGTGTACACACCATGGCGTACATCAAACTTCCCACTGCTGAAGCATATGGAATTTTATCCATCTCCGTCTTTTCCTTCTCAGTAGACGGGCTCTGTTTGGATGTCAATGTAAAGTGGTTAGCAAGAGGACAGGTAACCGCCTTAGCATTATCCATGTTGAAACGTTGAAGTACTTTCTCAATGTACTTTTCTTGTGACAACCATATCTTCTTGGCACCTCGATCCCGAATGATCCTCACGCCAAGAATCTGCTTTGCTGGTCCCAAGTCTTTCATGGCAAAAGACTTGCTCAACTCCTTCTTCAAATCATTGATCTTTGAGACGTTTTGCCCAGCAATTAGCATATCATCCACATAGAGCAAAAGTATGATGAAATCTCCATTAGGAAATTTCTTCACGAACACGCAGTGGTCTGAAGTATTCTTCTTGTAGCCTTGGTCCCCCATAACATACTCAAACTTCTTACACCACTGCCTTGGTGCCTGCTTCAAGCCATACAAGCTCTTACGGAGCCTACACACATACTCCTCTTTTTTCTCCTTCTTGAAGCCTTCTGGTTGCTCCATGTAAATCTCTTCCTCCAAATCACCATGAAGGAAGGCAGTTTTCACATCCATTTGTTCAACCTCCAAGTTAAGACTAGCTGCTAGTCCTAGCACAGTACGAATGGATGTCATTTTCACCACAGGTGAAAATATCTCGTCAAAGTCAATGCCTTTCCTTTGACTGAAGCCTTTCACCACTAGTCTGGCTTTGAAGCGTGGCTGACGGTTGTGTTCATCATGTTTGATCTTGAACACCCACTTGTTCTTCAAAGCTCTCTTGCCTTTTGGCAACTTCACCAGCTCAAATGTGTTGTTCTCATACAAGGAATCCATCTCGTCTTGCATGGCTTCTATCCACCTTTGCTTGTGTTCATCATTCATAGCTTCTGTGAAGCTTTCTGGTTCTCCGCCGTCACTAAGTGAGACATATTCACTCTCGGGATATCTGGTAGACGGTCGTGAAATTCTACCAGATCTTGTTGTTCGAACAAGAGAACCTTCTATGGCTGGTGGTTGACCATCGTCATCAGTATCTTCTGGTTGAACCTCCACATGGGCATCTGGTTCAACTATCTCAGGCTGATCATGTTGTGCTTCTTCTCCAACTTCTGTAGGCGCTGGTGTTAGAGGCACTAGCTCAAGGTTTGGCTGACTAGCATCAGTACTAGGAATTTCTTTCCTAGCAACAACATCTTCGATGGTCTCATTCTCGATGAACACAGCATCACGGCTTCTGATAAGCTTCTTCTGGATTGGATCAAAGAATCTACAGCCAAACTCATTTTGACCATAGCCAATGAATACGCACTGTCGCGTCTTTGAATCCAACTTTGACCTTTCATCCTTTGGAATATGGACAAAGGCCTTGCAACCAAACACCCGCAAATGTTTGTAGGAAACTTCTTTTCCTATCCACACCTTCTCTGGGGCGTCATACTTCAGTGGCACACTGGGTGACCTGTTCCACACGTAAACTGCTGCAAGCAGTGCCTCCCCCCAGAAAGATTGTGGTAGCTTCGAGTGTGATAACAAACACCTGACTCTCTCTAGCAGGGTCATGTTCATCCTTTCAGCTAGCCCATTCAATTGCGGCATCTTTGGTGGTGTGAATTGCTGCCGAATTCCATGTTCTTTGCAGAAGGTAGCAAACGGACCTCTGTACTCTCCACCATTGTCAGTCCGGATGCACTTCAGCTTCTTGCCAGTTTCCCTCTCCACCAGGGCCAGGAATTGTTTGAAAACGTCTAGGGCCTGATCCTTGGTCTTCAAGGTATACACCCAAGTCTTTCGTGAATGGTCATCAATGAATGTCACGAAATATCTGGCATCTCCAAGTGGTTTGACATTGACATCGGGTTCACAGAGATCTGAGTGAACTAGATCCAACACGTTCTTTGCTCTTGAAGGGATGGAACTTTTGAAAGCAACTCGGTTTTGTTTTCCCGCAAGGCAATCGACACACTTCTTTAGATGAACATGATCCAACCCAACTATGACTTTATTCTGGGCCAACTTTGCCATGGACTTCTCACTCATGTGACCGAGCCGTTTGTGCCACAATTCAATTGTGTCACCATGCTCCGCTGAGTTGACAATCTCTGGGGAGATCTTGGCTTCCGTCACATACAGCTTTGACAGCTTCTTGCCCTTGGCCAACACCAAGGAGCCTCTGGTGAGTTTCCACTGGCCATTGTGAAAGGTGTTACAATAACCTTCCTCATCCAACTTGTCTACAGAGATGAGATTCAGGCGCATTTCTGGAACATGCCTGACATCCTTCAGTAGTAGCTTCGTACCATTCACCGTCTCCAAGCATACTTCTCCTTTTCCAATAACTTTGGAAAGGTTGCCATTTCCCATTCTTACCACACCAAAGTCACCTGGTGTGTAAGATGAGAAAAATTCTCTCTTGGACGTCACGTGGATGGTAGCACCACTATCAACCACCCAACTTGTCTCCTGGGTTGTCAGGTTGACAACATCTTCCTCGTAGACAATATTGAACTCATCAACAGAGTTTGCACCATCATCATCATTGTTCTCATCTTGTTTGCCCTTCCTTCTCTCGTTTCTGAACTTTGGGCAAAATCTTCTGATGTGGCCCTTTTCCTTGCAGTGATGACAATTGATATTGGCAAACTTGTTGGACTTCCCTCGACTCTTGCCTCTTTGCTTCGAGCCTCTCGCTTCACTTCTTCCTCTGCTTCTGGAATCCACCGCCAAAAGGTCTGACTGGGAAGATGATGAGGATGCACCTTGTGATCTTTTCCGCATCTCTTCATTCAGAACCCCACTTTTGACGATCTCCATGTTGATAACTCCATCTTTCACAGAGTTGGTAAGTGAAATTTGTAGCGTCTCCCAAGATTCTGGAAGGGAAGCCAGAACGAGGATAGCGACCACCTCATCTTCCATCTTTATGCCCATACCGGACAACTGATCCACGATCCCTTGAATTTCGTTCAAGTGACCCGCCAAGGATTTGCCTTCCTTGTATTTCATCTGGACCAACTTGGTAAGATAAAATAATTTGTTGTTGTCGGTCTTTGATGCATAGAGTGCCTCCAGCTTGTTCCACAGAGTTCTGGAATGAGTTTCTCCGCTAATGTGGTTGTATACATTATCATCTTGCTTGTTTTTGCCTCCATTTGGACGTGGCTCTGATACCACTTGTTGGGCGCAGTGGGTGAGAATAGCCGGTAAATATATTGCACTAAGAAATCACACGCTTGTAAAAAGTTCACAAATAAGTTGGACCTGGTGGCAGAGCCTCCAGAATTATGGTAACCAACTTACTTAGATCAATTTACTTCGGTAATTTAATAATGCAATATACTACGACTATTCTCAAAATAACAACAAGCATAGATAATAATAAATGACACCGAGGATTTACGTGGTATACCCTGATTTTCGGCCAGTCCACGGGAACAGCAGTTCCGGAGTATTTCTTTACTATAACAAT